CGAGTCAAAAGTTTGCCCACGTCTTAGCTAGCTTTTTTTTTTTAGTTTGTTTAGATTGGTGTACTTGACGATACCATGATATACTCTATTTTTATATTTTATACCAGTCACGTTTCTTCTTCTCTCTGGGCTGCACTGTTGGGGTGCAGCCCGTAGTGTCTTCATCCAGGTCACTTTTCGTGCTTCCTCATTCCAGTCAACTACCCCGTTCACTTCATATATGATTCCTCTCTGCTGATTCCTCTGCCTGGCATGGAATCCCAATTCCCCATTCCTTTGTCTGATACCTCTTTCATCTTCTTATGGTATGTTTCTCCACGAACTCAGTAACAATCTATTCCTTTCAGGTCCTCCTCAAAGTGCAGTGGTAAGACACTCACATTTAACCAATTCATCCTCCCTTCAAACTCTTCTTAACCTCTCCTTTCCACTATCTACTGCGGACCGGACTCCGGGCTTCTATCAATTTGTGCAATTCTAGTTAAAATGTGAAGGGGTTTAAACCTGATCCTTACTTTAAACCAATCTTACACAGAACTTTTTTCTGTATCTCCAACCGCACATCTATTCAATATATCCTAAGAAGTTAAGAGTGAGGCAACTTGACTGACGTGGGTTTCTCAAAAACATTTCACCACTTATCCATCTTTGGTAAAAGTTCTACTTCTAAACTTCTGAGAGTAACAGAACCTGAATGACCGAGAAGCTGCAAAGACAGCTTTCCAATATCTCACAGTCCTCGTATAGGCATTGCACCGGCATCAAGATCTTTTCTGCCGCTTCCGACACTCATTACTACCTGTCTTTTAAAGCTCCGAAAAAATGTAGTTTAACACATTTTGACCTTCTTTTCTTGGAAAAGAATCCAACTCCTCCTCATTGATGTGAGCTTTTAACCTCCGCCTGATTTAAAAATAATTTCCTATTTCTCTCAGTATCATCTTTAACCAACCTAAGTAAGAGCCTGCTCCACAGTTTGGTGCATCACCTTCTCTTTTTGTCAGATATTATTTTGTCTCAAAATGGTCAAAAGTCTGCGTCCCCATAAACACCACTACCTGTTTTATGTTGTATGATATATACCATTGTTTGCCAAAGACTGGGTCGCGACCCTCAGGTGGGTCGCAAGAGATTTTTTTAGGGTTGTCTCGCATCATGTTTTCCCAGTAGTTGGGAAACACTGATATATACTATATAAAAAAATCCAATTCCACACACTAAATCGTGCTCCTTTATCTTTTACAGTTTTTCAGCTGCTGCTGTTTTTTGCTCCTTCTCCCTGTTGGTGTGATTAGAGTTTAATGGGTTTTGATATATATTTTTTTATTTCTCTGACATAAACTTGATACTTAACGCCACAGTGTTTGTATACAAAACCAGGTTTTGTGTATCTCAAACAAATAGCGCTGTTAAGGGTTTGAGTCTGCCTGAAAAGTCACAATAAAGAGGCTGAATGTAATGTTTATGTGCACAATTTATTTCACAGTATGTTGTCCGAAAGCTGATAACATAGTTTATAAATAATAATGATAAAAAGACAAATAAAGAAAACGTTTTTTTTTGTGCTCTTGTTTGCTTTGAGATCCACTTGGAAAAAGAAAAAAAAACAGCTGTCGATCCTCGTAAGGTTTTTCCTTAACACTTACAGTTCGTGTTAGACACAGAAGTGCTACAATACGCAGTATAAAATCATGTCGCTAAATAGCCAAATGAACCAGAAACCTTACAGCTCACAGAAGAAGAGACTGAAATGCTTGTTATTTTATTATATATATATATATATACTGTATATAAAATAAAATTACTGCAAGGAGAGACTCTGCAACCCATCAACATAAAAGAAAAGAAAAGTTACACAAGTCCAAAAATCTTAAGGCGGTTAGTAGACAACAAAGGTAACATAGTTTGCAAGGTGCATACATAACACATTCACATTAGGCCCAGTGATGCTTCATTTCATAATTATGAATATGCAAATAGAAAAGGTACGTATTTTTAAAGTTAATTAAATTAAGTTTGAATTATAGAGATGTTAAAATAATATGGCAAAAAATGTGCCCCAAAATTTAAAAATAGGTTTTCCTTTTTTTTAAACTGTAATTTTTCTCATTTTTTGTTATTATTATAATATATGATCTTTAATAAAAAATATTGTGCCTATACAGTAACCAAACATAACAATACAGTACATTTTTCTTTTAATTAACCGGGCTGAAAATACACCAAAAATTGTGGTTATTCATGAAACAGAGGGGGGGTAAGAGAATTAATAAATATGCAATGAATCACCACCACGAGCCTGTTTGGGATAACTTATGTAAGCAACTTGAGAGGGGAAAAAAAAAAGACAGACACAAACAAAAAAACATTAGGTTTTTCTTTTTCATTACAAATAGAGTCATGTTATACAAATTCACAGCCAGTAAGTCAGAGGATTTAGTTTCACATTCTCAAGTGTACTCTAGCATGTTGCTATCCTTCTGGTACCTAGCTTATCGTAATATACAAAAAGATTTAACAGCCTAGAAGTTTAGGAATTTGGAAAAAAAAAACGAAAAAAGAAAGAAATCTCACAGCAAGCAACCAGGCCTTGCCACTTGATTGACAAAGTTCTTTTTCCTGCACATATCAGATTCAGTATAATGCAATAGAGTATAATAAACAGGGAGCAATATTTAAACAAAGAGAGAAAAAAAACAAACATCAATGCAAATAATTCATTTCTTTTTACCTTGAAAACATACATAAAAGCTGCCGTAGACAGATCAGAGTATGTATCTGTTACATTCATCCATCGGGCTCCTATGTGGTAGGGCACAATGGCTGCTTACCTGCAGAACAGGCCACATAATACAGCTGCCTTCCCTACTAAGTCTCCGTAATTATTAATAGGCTTCTGGAACCACTCTGTGTGTGTGTGTGTGTGTGGATGTTTTTGCGTTGCATTGTGTTCACCTTTAAAAGCAAAGTCGACACAAATCTACTGTCGTACAAGGGTAAGCCAAAAAATTGCAGAAATATATTTGTCCTTTTTCATGAATATTTAAATATTTCTGAGGACATTTTGACTTACCCTCGTATGTTTCTCCATGATTTCCAAACTGCGCAGAGAGTTGTAAACATTTCGAGTTTATCTACTTTGGTTGTAAACATACGAGTAGTGGTTCATGAAAGTGATGACTGAACTACTTCACAAAGACCTGCAACTGGAGCAAATGAGAAGTTTATCTGAAACCATGGTACGTTAGCATACCTAGCGTTAAGTGGTGACAGAACTGAATTCACCTGTTTCTCGAGTAAACGGGTTCAAAAAAAAAATGAGAAAAAAGGGATGTAATAATATCATTAACAGTTGGTTAGGATATCAAAGAAATAATGTCAGTCACCTGTGCCACATTAAACATTATCATTATTGTTTTGTTTCAGGTGCAGTACCATAGCGTGGCACTTCCTGTTTTACCTTGTCTGTGGATTTCTATCAGGGTAACACCTATGTATTTTTAAATACATATTTTTTAGTATGGTCATCGTAGTTTAAATATAGCTTATCAGGGATTGCTTTTAATTGAATTAATTTTATATTTTATATTTTAAATTGAGTGCTGTGTTTACAGCTGCGGTTCTAATTATTTACCTGTAACTGATGTGGTCTTGATAGCTGCGCGAGCTTTGTGAGATAGCACTATCCTTACCTAGTTTGCTGTAAAACCTTGCAATAATGCATGTGCTGTTAGCCTAGAAATAAGCTAAATAATCCAGAATCCACGGTTATGTGTAATGCATGGTAGTGTATAAAGTCAAGACTAACTTAACCCTTGTGGCATTAGTGTAAGATGTTCCTGACTGTTGTTCCAGACTGCATGGGTATCACATAAATGCTAATAAGCATATTAGCAATAATAAAATCCTGTAAATCTGTAACCCCCTGGTTCCTTCTCACCTTATCTCCTCCTTATCTACAAGCAGTTTACATTTTACATTTACTGTACTGCAGTGTTATCAGTTAGTACATGGCTGATATGGTACACACGATGTGTACAAAAAAAAAGAGAAAGAAATTCAAAACAAAAAGGCCTGGAATGACTTGGAGTAGGTTAACTAAAAATGGTTCCGTAAACAGTCAAGCCCTTTCTCCTCTACCTACTAAAAGAAAAAAAAAATTGTTTGCAATTCAGAGATGTAAGTTGTAGGTTTTTAAGTACTCTACAAGTTAGTAGCTAAGTGGTCATATTTAGTTAAAAAAAATAAAGAAGTAAGCAGTTAGCATCATTAGCACCTCTCTGCCTCTCTGACAGTTGATTCAGGCAACTGACACTTTAAATTTGTTCCCACGTTTGGTGATAATCGTGTTACCTCGCTGCTGACCAGTTTTTAGCTTAAGCATTAGCCTCTTGTTTTGTAGTTGTTGAGTCATAAGCTCCCATACAGTGTATTGAGCATTTTAAGGATGTTACCAGTAATGGTATGCTTACAAGTCAGTTCTTGTAGCTACGACCATGAAGAAAAATGCTATATAGATTATATCATTTGATTTCAATACCATCGTCAACACTCACTTTGATATCATTACATCCAAAAAAGATACAATATATAAAAAAGAAACCAGTGAAAAAGGTTAGAAGTGCCAAATATTCTGACTGATTTGAAATGACACCTGCCATTCTATGCAACAAAACGATTGAAATAGACAGCGCTTCATCTGATAAACCACCCGGCACAGTCACTAACACACTCTATTTACACAACAAACAGTTCAAATAATATAAACCCATATCTGTACATAATTTAGTTATATTAAATAAATGCAATCTAGGAGGAAACAGGAATTTCAAAGAAAGGGTTTCAATTCTTCAAAAATACTGAGATTTCATTGGACATATCTTCATATAGTAGTTTCATATTACACAACAGCAAATCCACCGTCACAGGACTTAGCCATGCGTTACCCAAAAAACCTATAATCCAACATATGCAATGTAACATATATATCATTCATTTGTAATAAATATCTTCTTTTGATAGATAAACTTTTCCCATCAGGTACTTTACATGGTGGATCAATTTCTAGAAGGTTAATTCACGTTTTCTCATGTTCAAAAAAGAGTTTCGTACATGTTTGGGAGGTTGAATATCATTGGCAAGTCTGCTCTTTAAGTCCTCGTCCCAGTTCAGCCAATTTCTGCTCAATTAAAACAAAAAAAAAACATCGAAAGAGGTTTATGATTTGTTTTGGGCTGATACGCCTTTCCAATAGTCCAAAATATCATGCAGGTCCTCATCCTTAGCAAATTGGACTTTCTTACGCAGCGCGTGGCCTGCAGCCATGTACTCCTCATCTTTGTGCCGTTTACGATGGGGTTTGAAACGCTCCCAGATGCTGTGTGAAGGTTTGAGGTGGTACTCGGGACTGGAGGAATAGCTAAGGTTGTGGTACTGAGAAGACAACTGGGAATATGCCAAGTCTCTGGAGCGGGAATGAGTCAGCGGCTCCAACATGGAAGACCTTTGTCCGTCATGCCCTTCGAGCTCCTCTATCTGAGCATCGGGATATGAGTGCCGATGGTCAGTGTACTGACGAATCTTCTCCGCCTCGGCTCTCATCATGGACGGAGCAGGTGTGACGGTGAGGATGGTCTCTCCCTTTGGGGAAGTGTTCTCGATGTACTTGGATTCAGGGCGATAAGGCCTGGGGCTTCGCATGGGTCCACCTGTGGCTGTGCTGGGCCTTTTTGGCGAGGCATTTGAGGTCCGATGCCTTTGAAGAGAATGATGGTAACTGTCCTGGTACACGGGGGACAACAGGCCGGATTTACCTTGTGGGTGTTCGGATATTAACATAAGCTGCGGCTCTACTGTCGACACTGCTCCAGATTTAGCCCCTTGAAAAGAGGTAGACTCTGACTTAAGGGCATCTATACAGTTGTTAATGATCTGGTTGACCTTATCTACCTCTTTGGCAATTGTTGAAATCTCTGCCACTGAGCCCTGGCTATTACCGGGCCCCATGTCGCAATCCCTGCGTTCATGGTGGTCCACACTCCGCACCTCCATGTAATTTCCTTTCATCATTTTAGGAGTTTCGCTTATCTCTTGGAATTTGTATTGCTCCATTTCACTCGCAGACGGTAAGTATGGCATACGCGACATGCTCTCCCCGGCCAGCAACTGCTTGTGTGACATTCGAGACATGGTTCCCCCTTCGATTTCTTGTCCATATTTGAGTTCCATGATGTTTTTCTTCAGGCTATCTGCTTTTTTGTGCTTTTCATCCTGCTGACGTTTTCTTCGCAAACAGTAGTAGACCACCCCAAGAAAAATGACCATGCTGAAGAGGCAGCCTAAAATTGTCATTATGTAATGAGTAGCATTTGCGTTGTTTGCTCCTCTGTCTTTTTCAATCCGAGGCCCAGTGGTGATAGTCAGACAAGTGTGGTTGTGTCTCAGAGAGTTGCGTACAGAGGCGACACAGTATGTGTAGTTAGTGTGGGGTTTGAGGTTCTTCAGTTCGATGTCCTTCTTTTCCTCGGCAAGAGTTTGTATATCTGTGAAGAAGCTGTTGTTGTACAAAACTAAGGTGTACATCTTCTTGAAAGGATTCGGGATCTGAACTGTAATGATGGCTCCGGTGTTAGACACCTGCTTCACCTTCATCAGAGGTGTCACCTCCACACTGCCGTAGGTTACACTTATGGTTATGTCATCTGGCTCGGTTCCTGATGGACAGTCTTCCAGCCCACAGAGTGTTGAGTCCGGTGGAGGTGTTGACGACTCTGTGGGAATGGCAATGAACGGGGTCACGTAGTCATCAGTGCACACTGTTGTGAGCATGTGAAGTGCATTTCGATATGTTGGATTGTTTGGATTCTGGCTCAGTAAACTATATCCGGAGACCCCTGACGGGGAGTCGCAGACCATCCGCTCATTTGTCCTGTTTGGGAAAACCGATAGCCATTTGACAAAACCGAGTAATTCGCACGAACAATTGAATGGGTTGGTGTATAGCTCGCAAGTGGTGAGTTTGGTCAAACTGGTGAACGTGGATCCATCTAGCTGCTGGATACGATTCATGGACAGATCAATGTTCTCTATGTTGGGACATTCCCAGAAAGCATTAGGAGTCACCGTCTCTATTAGGTTTGCCTGGAGGTAAAGGTATTGTAGTTTTCCCAAACCCCTGAGGATTCCCTCTGTTAGGTTTCGTAACTTGTTGAAGCCCATTTGGAGTACTTGCAGGTTAAACTGAGCAGAAAATGCCCCGTCTTCTATGTAGGAAATTTCATTCTTTGTCATGTTCAGGTATGTCAAATTGGCAAAGCGACTGAGGGCAGAGTAATGTATGCTTTTAATTTTGTTTTCATTCAAACGAAGATCCACGATGGTACTGTTGATATGTTGAGGGATGGCCTCGTAGGGCGGTTGGTTTTGGCTACAAATCGCAAGCCATACAAAACCCTTTTCACCCTCAATTAGCCAGCAGTCTCCATTGACTCCGCGAACATGAGTCATATATACAATGGCTACGGACCAAAACAAGGCACTCATCACCATGCCTGGGCCACAGGCCATTGGTGCATCTCTGAGAGTCATGATCAGGGCCAAGAAATGATAAAAGGGTGATACTGCTGTGATTTCAGTACAGCTGAGGCAATCCTCTTAGAAAACAAGCTGGAAGTTGAGCTGTTTTCAAGGCCAGAAACAATCCTTTGATGTGCCAAGTCTTCATTGAGGGCTACTGTTGTCTGCCATGTACCAGTCAGAAAAGAGAAAACAAACTGCCTTTATTCTGCCTTGCATCAAACAAGGTTTGCTTGAAGTGGAGTTGTGGAGATGACTTCACCATCTCAGGTTGTCTTGTGCTCTCCTCCTCAGAGGTAACCATCATTTAAAGCTCTCATTTTAGAGTTTCTGTCTTTCTTGCTGTATCTTTCTTGGTGATATGAAGAAATATCCTGCCATGTGAAGAGAAAAAAAAAACACAGTGTTATCATTAGTTAGCCGGTATTCTTCATCGTATTACTACTTTTACATTACATGCTGCATGTCGGCACAAAAACCTTTTGCCGGCAACATTAAATATGCATATTTATTGCAAGCCCTCCTTGTTCATGCTCGTCCAATTATTTTGTACACAGTATAGGAGGTGTTTTCAGTCCCTGCGGCAGCATGCTAATAAAGGAAACTGCCGGCCAATTACTACTTGACAGGTCAGAAAAAAGGCAAAGTTCCTGTTTTCACGCCAGTAACCTGAAGACTGTCAAACACAGCTGAGGGAGGCTAATGTTAAGAAGCTGCATTAAATGAATTACACATCTAATCTATCCGACATGACAAAAGAAAAGTTGTGTGTGCTGCCGAAGTTCCACTTCGACTTTAAACGTGATGCATTCCACAGGACATTAAAGGGCCCACGAGCTATAATTTGAATTTAAAAAGCGGGCAAAACATTTCGGGCTCTAGAGATTCACTTATCAAAACTTAACAGAGAAGGACACTATGTGGAAAGGTTGTCATAGAATAATTTCAGTTGGTTCGACCTCTGGAGACGATCAGATTGTTGAATGAGATAATCATGTAACAGGAATGCATAAAGAGAGAGCTCGCTTAAGTTTCTAACCCCAGCTGTCAGTGTGGCATTTCTCCTGTCATTTTGACCTTTTGAACGCGTGGTTTATCGTTACAATCACAGTTCTGTTGGCGTTCCCTTCATTAACTATAAAACCTCTCGATACGAGGCTCCTTTTTTAGAGAAAAAAAAAATCAATTTATCATGTCTTCACTTTACGTAGACATAGCCACTCAAGTTGTAACTTTAACATTTACATGTGCATGCAATTGAAACATAATATGGTTTAGTAAACATCGACCAATTGTGTTCCTTTAATATATATTTTTATGAAGACCAGTATACAGTTGCTTGGTTCACCAGGTAGGAGTAGCAAGAACATTGACAAAAATATTTCAAAAATAAGATTCTAAATTCTTGTTTATCGAAGCTTCACCCAGTGACTTGAGCCCAGTGGTAATGAATAATCAACTGTTTGTGTCGAAGGACAGATCTTTGTCTGACCAGGTGGAACGGCTTTTGTTGAAAGTCGTGGCCTCGACTGCTCTCTGAATGTAAAATGTGAACTGCTACCCTTTCATAATTCATTACTGAGCGAGGTCCTAGTTTAGTTTTGTGGCTCATCGCTAAACCAGAACCATTTGCTGTATCACTCTTTATCGTAGAAAATAATAACAACAACAATAATAATAATGATAAACTTTAGACTAAATACAATGTTTCTGTGGTTCATCAAAAAATGAGACTTATAACACACTTTTAATTACAAACTACACCAAAGAACGATCAGCCTTTGGACAGTTCAGGTAAAACACTCAGAAAACAGAAATAAATTCTGCAGCAAAATCACAAACATTCTTCCTGAAACACTATTTTTATGATAACGAAATAGAAGTGGCAAAGGAAATTTTGAAGAAAAAAAACAACCCCACTGGTTGGATTTAAGCTTCTACCTTAAATGTTTCAGGAAAATGGGACAACTGTGGTTCAGGAAAATAGCTGCTGAAAGGAAGAGACAGTGCTTCTTATTTCTATTTATTTATTTTACTGTTATTGCAAATCAAAAACACAGAGACTACGCTCATTTGACCCACCCTGTATGTGTGCGCAGCATGGCACACGTTCCATTCAGTGTCTAAACGGAGGTTGGAGTTGAAGTGAAGTCTCCGCTCATTTAAAATTCATTGATTGTTTTTTGTTTGCCCACAGTGACTCACTGAAGTGAGCCTTCATCTGATTCTTTGGCTCACCGCTGGAACCCATGCATAAATTACAGTCTGACACAGCCTCCGTTTGAGTAAATACAAAAAAAAAAACTCGACACGCTCACGCTAATACAGGATGTTTTTGCTTGACAAAACAGACTCTTCATTCAAAGGACTGTATCTTAACTTCTGCTACTTTTGTCTGGAAAGTAAAACACAAGGTTGGCCCGGAGAAGTGAATTCCTGAGGGATAAACAACAACAACTATCTTGATTGAAATTAATATTTCACTGCTTTGGTTTTATGCAAATGGAAGCATATTGTTTATTCAGATCTTCTGTTCAGCCTTAAGCAGTGAGTGGTGAGTGCTTGCCTCGTGAGATCTTGGCTCTGTTTTCCACCGTAGACCCACTTTCTCTAATGACAGCAATCTAAAAGGTACAGTGCCGGCCCTCAATGCAGCAGGCCGTAACACCCAGAGCTTCAGAGCTGAGCCCGCTCTTCTATCAGACACCAACAGCCTCTTCAAACGCTCGTTTCCATTTGGAGTTTATGCGGTGGGTAATAACGGCTTTTTCTCTTCCTTCTCCTCCTTTGTGGATAACCTATTGAAACCCTGCTTTTGAAGAGTAACTACAAAACAGCCTGGTACATTTCTGCTACATCTGCTCAGGGCCTATTCATACTTCATACTCAGGGGGGGACATGGGCTCCTTTTGTCTTCTCTTCAGATTTGTTGCATTGTGGGTGTATAACTTTCACAAATCACAGTACCAGTCCTTAAAATATAAGAACGGAGATTAGAATATATTGTTGGCATCAGTTATTGAGCCCTGGTGGACAATGGGAACAGGATTAAAGGATACAGTTTTACTCAGATCACATACTCAGTTATTTGTTCAATCGTTCAATCGTTTACCACTTAAACCTTTTCAGGACTGCAGGTAGGGCTGGAGTCAATCCCAGCAGTTACCAGGTGAGGGCAGGGGGCAGTCCAAGTACACAGTGAGAGAAATGACATTTCCCCAGGAACTTGGTTCTAACACTATATAAAGACAGTGAGACAAGACAGATCTATACATAAATCTTAGTCTAAACAAGACATGACCCCTAACAGCAGTAGTTTTTGTAGATATGGTAGCTTCACAGTTTATGCAGAGTGTATTTATATATATATATATATATATATATATATATATATATATATATATATATGTGTGTGTATATATATATATATATAGATAGATATAATATATATATATATATATATATATATATATATATATATATATATCTCCTAACAGAGTTGGATGAGCTTTGCATTGAAAGTCATTGCGATGCACCAGTTATCTGTGGTTTATGAGAGCCTGTACACAGTATGTGAACTGGAGAGAGTTGTCCTCTCCCGTATTAAATCTCAAGTGTAGAGCAAGGAAAACTTTGACAGGGGCTTCAGACTGCCTGCCTCACTGAGAAAAGAACATTTTAAATTCCTCTACCCACAAAAAGACATTAGCACATCTTTCCAGGTTTTAGTTTTAGTTTTTCTTTTTTATATCTCGGTCTCGTCTCGCTCTCATTGTCATCGTCCAGTCACTTTTCTGTGCATACAAATGAGGTATTTTTCTGTTTTACATTCAACCCTAACAAAAGCCCGATATGTATGGATCTGTTCTGTATTTGAGGGGCTCTTCTTTTTCTGTTGGTGACACTTTTGCCTTTTTTTTTTTCTCGTGCTTTGTGTCGCAGTGAAGGTGTTTCAATCTCCGAGGACCCTCTTCATCCATACCAATGACATGGCCTTTTATTTGATGTCATTGAAAATGCATACACTTCCTGCCCAGGAAGAATGAAAAGAAGGAAAGATGGGAAACCAGAAGTGGAGAATCAATTGAGAAGAAATGGAACTACTTCTCCTGGGGAGGGAAAACATTGTACTACTCAAGATAGTGAATTACATCAGAGGGCGGGTGAGCAGGAGCGCTTGGATTTACTGGAAAATATCAAAGTCGAACAGGAGTTTGATAAATATTGTGCACTACAATGGCTTCTTTAATATATATCTGTAGGACATGATGTGTGTCTTTAACTTATCATTCTCTGTTAAATTGAAAACGATTTTAAAATAAAGTAATTCGTGATTGCCATGAATTGAATATATATAAATAATAAAATAATTTTTTTTTTTTTTTTTTAAATAAAGAAAAGAAAAGCACAGCGCAAGCTTTTTGGAATGTTTTAGTTTTTGGTTTTAATTTAACTGAGATTTCCTTGCAGAAAAGATCATTTTGTACCTTCAGCTTTTTGGAATGTTTTAGTTTTTGGTTTTAATTTAACTGAGATTTCCTTGCAGAAAAGATCATTTTGTACCTTCGGTGTTGCCGTAGGTGGTTCAGCCAACAGGAAGTCAGGTAAAGACAAACAGGAAATGTGAATTACGTATATTATTAAATTCTTTATTTAATGGCATGAAAACATTTACCGGTGACTATATTTTTATGTTCAGATGTTGCATTACATTTATGCATATAGAGAATGTTCGTTACTTAACATAGGTCATAGTACAAATTACGTCCGCTAATCCGTACATGCTCGCCGTATATAAAATAGCATTAAGCTATCTGACTTGTTTTTATTAGTTTAGAGATGCTGTGTATGTGAATATATTTAGTTCAAATATATCATGATATGAATAACATATGTTTTTTATGTTCGTTTACTTTTACAGTGATTACTAAATAAAGGTTGAAAAGAAACTCGTTTTTTTGGAAAATCTACCAAGTTGGTGTAGCAGGTTAGTGCATGCCACACACAAGCACGTGCAGAATACTGTTTCTTGTCGTTTTTGACCAATATTAATATCATACGTATTTTCAAAGAAAGAAAATAAAGAAAAAAAGGGTTCACATGAGAACTTTAAATGTAACAATGTTTTTTTATGTTTTAATTGTATTCTTTTTTCGGCAGTCAACGGCTTTTAATACATTTTAATAAGGGTTAATGAGGGCAAATAATAGGTTACTGCAGCCAATTAGGGTTCTTCATGTAAAATAATGTGCAAATCAGCCTCATTAGATGACAGGTTTTGCTAAAGTGGACTGATTTGAATTTACAAATATTCTTTAAGATAATGAAGTACTGCAGTGGAGCTGCTGCATACACACTGCACATACACTGCATACTACTGCACAGGGTTTTTTTTTAAAAAATGTGAAAGTGCCTGAAAAGTTACATTAAGTTTCCTGACTACTTGGCATTCTACTCAGGTGTCACACTATGTGAAACTTTAAATGACTCGCTGCCCGGCCATCACTTGTAAATTCACAATATTTTATTCAATTGTTCTTCAGTCTTCACGGGTCCTTCAGCATCTTGTGATCTAATATGACTGACACTACAAAAATGCCATTACAAACTAAAAGGCAATTTTAAGGCCATACCTCTTATAATGACAATGACCTATGAAGAATGAGGATGTATACAGGGGAACTGCAGGGAGAATATCCAGTTTGACCTTCCACAGCTCCTTTCACAAAATCATTACAGTTTGGCTGCATAGGAAAAGTTGGGTGAAGAGCTATTGAGAGCATAAATCAAAGTGAAAGAAGCATGGACGATTTTTATTCCACTTATTTTAGAACAAGATACAACTTGGAATTGCACCTGAAGGTTTTAATGTAATTTATCAGGCCATCGACTGACCATCGACTCGATATGCTCTTTTGCCCCGTGAAACAACTAATTTGCCGACATTCTCCCCATGGCTAGCTACCTCACGGAGTGTTAAGATAGAATATGGCTGTGTTCAAAATGACTCACTTGTTCCCTACTATATAGAGCACTATATAGTGGATCCATGGGTTAAATGAAAAACTGTTTCGCACACTACAGTTATTTATGTAATTTCTGTCCCACAATTTAATCAGACGGATTTGGGTTCTCTCTCTCGCCATTGTTGTCATGACTGCAATGCATGATGGGACAGACGGGTTTGGGTTCTCTCTCGGCAATGTTGTCATGACTGCAATGCATGATGGGATATGTTGTTTGGCTAGTGTACAGTACATCGGATGTACACAAGGTAGAATTCACCAATCAGAATAGTATACTGTGTATAAATCTGTAGGTATGTTAATCCGATAGAGAAAATACACCGCTCAGAAAAGTATACTCTGTTTCAAACTTTCGGTATACAAATCTGATTTGGCATACTAGTGCCACAGAACAGAGGCAATACAAAATGTTAGCACTTAGTAAGTTACTTTTCCAAGCTGTCCTCCTCGAGTTTTTATTTTGGTACTTCCGATTTCTGACAGTGTGAATTTGCATATAAATGTAACAAAACCTTGCTTTTATTTTCAACATCAGCTGCTTCACAAACGCCACTTGTAGCTTTGTCTGACTATTTGTACCAAGATGTCAAATTCTTATTTTGATATTAAAATGTGTTACTCTAAATGCCTTTTATTCAGAGATGGATTAGAAATGATGTATTTCACAGATGCTGACAAAAGTCTGACATCAAACATCTGCCTTTTTCTTTGTTAGTTTAATCCCACTCAGGTCCTCCTTGCCAATTAACCTTTGGGAGAGTGACAGTAGCTAATTCAATTAGACCGGACGGCTGCACAGCAGGTGAGTGACATCCCGGTCTGCCCGAGTTTTTTTTTTGATTGACAAGCTGTGAATAAGAGCAGCCCCTTTGTGTGCACTGGATGCGTGTGCCCGTGGACTTCATGACATATTCAGGAAGTGGAAGCCTTAGATGTAATACAAGCTCAAAGAGTGATGGAGGAGGAGTGGAAATGAATTGATCTACATTGTCATCTCTTCATTAAACTCTACATCACTGCATATAAGGAAAATATAATGGTACTGCCTTTTCAATTAACCACAGGGTTACCTGATGATATCCACTTCACTCTGCTTCAATCAATAGTGTGTCAGTAATGAATATTACAAGGATCAGTGGATATACATCTGGTATGCAGCAATCACTGATGTATGTTCTATAGTTTCATCATTCGTGTATGCATTTATATTACAGAATTATACCCGTCTTAAAATTGTTCTTGTTTAAGTCGCTCAGGATCTACCAGCAGTACCTTTGTGATCTTCTGGTAGATTGCTATCTACCTATTAGGCACCCCTGGTATAGAGCAGAGATGTGACCCACATTCCGGATACTATATGGTTTGTTAATTTTTATACATGCTATATGTGGTACATGTAACTTTTTTTTTTCTCTAAGCTTCATGTGACGATTTGTTTTCCTGTTCACTTTCGTTACACATGCAGACTGTTTATGGTCATCTGGTGTTATGATAATTGACTGTGTTTAAAGAGAATCTGCTTATTCTATAATAATACATCGTTCAGACTCCCATACTAACTTAAATCCTGAAGGAAAATGTACCGATCCTTTAACAATCCTTCTAATCAGCGCTGCACTACCGTTACGCAGTATTGGCCATAGTACCATATTACAAAAAAGGTTGGGGACCGCTGAGCGAAAGAGATTAGTTACAAACTCTGAAACTGTGAAATCCTAGAATGAATTTTAATCCATTTTAATTTAATAAGACTCTCCTGCAAATTATGTTTTATTTTTCTTATATAACTAGGATTGTTATTCCAGTGTGTAACACAAGAGTTGGGAACTATTTAAATGGCTTTTCACTGTGTTTTGGAACAAACAAACAGGAAATTTATCTGCATAACTACACCCAGAGTAAAATAACAAAGGTTGTGGCTGCAGATGTGGGTGATGTGACTGCGTTTTATTAACTCCAAGCCAGAGCAGCCACTTGCCAACTAATCAAATATTGCAATATAAACAGTCTGAACTGAGAACATAACCTGGGGCTGTAGGTGGTGGTTATGAGATAACAGGCCCACAGACTTGTTCAGGTTCCCGTTCAGGCTGACGGTATCACTTCTGTGTTGCTTTCTTCTTATTGGATTTCATTGCAGTTATTGTTTTGTTGTTGTTGTTGTCTGTATTTATATAGGTTTTGTCCCTTAATTTTAGTTTTGTCTGTAAAACGTGGGTGTATATCTTATGGAGATTTCTTTTGTTCTTGCCGTTCTTGCGACTGTAGCTCGGAACTGTTGCAGTTGTTGTTGTCTTTGTACATTGAAATTGACTGTCTTTTAATTTTACATTTTTTATATTTACTTCTAGGATCTTTGGACATTAGATATGCAGTGAAATCTCAGTTTTCGTACGAAAATTTCAAAAACTGGAACAATTTTCCCCATAGGAATCAATGTAATCCGTTCCAGGACCCCAGATTTCTTATTCGAACTTTTCAACACTATTATGTGTACAAGTTCATACACGACACCAATGAAAATAATTAGATCTAACAAAAAAGATAAACACAACTGAATAAAGAATAAAGCTATAAATAGAGCAAGAAATACTGGCAAAATCAGATAACAGGCAGGCAGCAAGTGACCACTGAATTATGGGCGTTTTCCTGTATTGTTCTTTAAAAGAATATGTGTACATTTTTCTCAAAGTACCAAGTGATAATACCGGTAATACATTTTCTATATGTTGCAATCTTTAAAAGAACACTAAACAATATATCCAAACTTTCTGTATTATAATTGTGATATATATATATATATATATATGATGGCTGTTCAATAAGGCGATGTCATCTTTTCAGGTGATATATATATATATATATATATATTTCACTGATTAAAGTGTCCAAGGAGACCTCTCTTCATCTTTTCTTTTATTCAGTTATTGGATTTAGAAAAGCTCTGCAGACATTAGAAAAAAAAAAAGATCACTTGGTTGTCAAGATTTGACCATAATCCTGACACTTTTCAGACTAAGTCAGACAGCCAGGCATTGATACTAATCTTAAAGCCATTAGAGATGCAATCTTCTTCGTCTGTGTCATTTTCCAAATGGGTGAAGAAATCGCGACGCACAATGCTGTTGCCCACTCAGTAAAAACACTGAGAAGGGGTTATTTTTCTTCAAAATGGAATCAGTGGTTGTTTGTGCTGAAAATGATTAAAAATGAATTAAACATTTGAGGAAGTTTAGCGTAATATTCACAGGGTGTAGTGTCGTCTACTGCAGTAGTACTTTTGAAAGAAGTTGGTGCTGATTCCTCACTTTCAATGTAGATACCTCATTTGCTACTGGGTAACTTTAAGAATGCATTAATCAACGTGTTCTCAAGGCTCAGCGTGATACGGAAAACAAGACATGTCATGCTGTGTCAAAAATAAATGGGGGGTAAAATACGTTTCAATCTTTGCAATCAGGAAAGGGCGGGAAGATTTTTTTTGTTCCTTCAACTCTTTGAACTATAAGCCCTCCCTTTGAAGTAACTGCCTGTTGGTTAAAATGAAGATTTTGGAAATCCGATTTATTCTTACTATTGAAAACCTTATATGGTGAAGTTAATCTTGTCACATGTAAAGTTCACTGCATTGTGCACTTGATATAGTTTAAATGAATTGATATAATTTGTTGAAATTACAATGCGATTGATTTGAATACTTGAACTGTTCATGCTTGAAATGTTCCTTTTACTAATGTAAATCTCTTTATATAGAACCCTTAACCAGGTATGGGCCTACTACGGCCCGTGGGCCAGGTACAGCCCGCTGAGCTTTCTAATCCGGCCTGTCAAACACAGCAGGCATAAATGTAAACACACACAAGTACATATGAATTATTAATTATCATATGAATTGGTAAATTTTAGCAATCGCGGATGCAAATAAATGTAAATAAACAATGTATTTGTTCTGAGGCAAACAGTGAAGTTAATAAATGTAAATACCGTAACGCTCGGTGATAAAAACGTTTACGATGTTTAACCGTTGTAAAAACCGTCTCCATAAAGGACATCTCCTGAAGGCAGATGGTCACAGATCCGTCTTTAAAGGTGACTGGCCTTCGACGCTAATCCCCACACAACGGGTGTTAAACCAGAGCCATAATTATCTTCTCTTTTCTCGCTCCAGAACCAGATGCACACCCTTCGCGCGTCCCGCCTTGGTGTTTGCTATTGCTTCGGTTTGAGTGACTCAATTTGCTCACGAACCTGAGATGTTGTTTTCCTCAGTCTGACTCGGTGAACGGCATGTAATAAAGGAGAGGAATTAAGTTGTCATGATGGGAGAAAAGTCCCCTGTCATGCAGCAGGGAAGTGAGAGCGTTTTATCAGCGGTGAGGAATGAGAGAGAGAGAGAGAAAAAAATCATTAGGGATTTTCTAATGAATATAATAATAGCAGACAGCTGTCTGTCAAAACCACACGGCCCTGGTTTAAGGTCCATTCATTTTCCCCATGATTGCCTTTCTCATCGCAAACTGACAGCGTGGCTGCCTGCACACTTTTTTATTAAGGAAAAGTGGGATTTGATGAGAGTTTTGAAAATGGAATTATAAGAACTGGCCCTGCCTTGGCTTTAGTACTAATGGTTTACTCCTTCAAGTAAACTTTGACTTAAACTTAAGACTCAGGATGTGGATTAGTTCACCAACCCTAAAAAAAAAAAAAAATTGTTTTATTTTAAGGATTTAAAAAATAGTAATTAAAAAGCACTGCTGCGGTCAATGTAGCAGGAACGGATGGGTCTGTAGTGTGTCGGTTATCACGCCTGCTTGCACATCTGCCTTACGTGAGGAAGGTCCTCGGTTCAAGACAGAGATAAACGTACTTGGCGCCTCCTGTTGGGCAGCCAGACTCACACTGTGAATTTCCTCATTGTTTGACTTATAAGGGAGTGTCATTTTAATTCAATTTAATAAAAAAAAAAAAAATTCAAATATCAGGATGAAAATATGCGACCTTTGGGCACCGAATGAAACCGCTACGGCCAGCGTGAACATGGGCTGCGGCAGGTCGGGACAACCTACCCACAGAGACTCAGAGATCAGGAAGGAGTTAAATGTCTTAATGAGGGCCACGTCCAATAATAGTCAGCCTTGCAGATGTTTTCTAATCACTTTATGTGACTAATTTAGGGCTCCCTCAGGATCCATGTCTCTCACGGGCTAATCCATGATGCTCTTTATAGCAATCCATTCAAATAACTCTTGTGTGCAGCCATCAATTAGGAATCTGGCTTGATGGAGGAGCTGGCACGGGGTACGTTCTCAGGGATAAAGGCTAAATCCAAAATCTATCCCTACGGCTAACTACGGCACTGTGGCCGGTTATATAAGGCCCAGGACAGCCGTTTCACAATAAATGTCGGGGTCATCGGCCCAGAGCAAATGGAGGATTAGTGTGTGCAATGTTAAACAGTGTTTCAGTGGCTAAAAAAAGCTGTTTTAGCATGACATTCAATTTGTTTGAGCTATTTCAAGGGGTCTAATGTATTACAACCTTTGTCTGTATTTTACTTTATATTCAATATGTATTTATATTGAATGCTTTTTGAAGCAATTTCAATTTATTTTTAATCATTTTAGTCATATTTTGTCATTTTATATATTTTTTGGATTTATGTTTACTTGCAGTGCTTGATTTTGTTTATACAAAATTATGGCTATTAATAATAAGATAATTCATTTTGATATGGCTATCTTTGAGCCTGACTGTATTTAGCTGCTTTTATCTTTTTTTTTTGCTTACTTGAAGCTATTATTGGCAAAACTCTTAGTTAGTCCTTGACGTGACGCTGGTGTAAAATCAAAATCGTTTTGTTTCTCTAGTCTTGCGTTCCATAATTAGATTGTAGGGCATTGAAAAAAAAAAAAAAAAATCACAACAACTTCTGCAGCCTCAGCTAGATTCTCAAACTGTGTGTCACTGAACGTGTTTAATAAACTCCTATAACATGGGTTTTTACCCTTCCTTGGGGCCCACTGTTCTTCCTGTACAAATAAGCGAAGAGGAACATAACTCTGCGGGGTAACTAGGAAATATATATTTCCTCTAGAACTAAATTGCTCTGGACAATCCCTTTTAAAATAAAATAATTAAACTGGGAGTTTTGCGGTCCCTCTCCAGCTCTGGAATAACACGTCTCAACCTCAATAGCAGTGGCACTTCATCTTTAATTTAATGACAATGGGTAAAACCAGGCGCCACTTCACTTTTATCTGAAGCCAAAACTGTTTCAATTCCTGCAATAAATAGTGTGAGTATATGGGCTCTTTGTGCTCATTATGGGAGATGTGGTTTAATATTTATACCCGTACCACAGTTGGAGCCAGGAAAGTTCTTGACAATGATGTGTAAGAAAATCCTTGGTGGCTGTTATGCTTTATACACCTAATGCAGTATTATATAAAATATTTATATTCATATAGGGTCTGAATTTTTTTTTTTTTTTTTTGCAAAGCCATTAATTTAAACTGAAATAGGTAATGTAGGCCAGAGGCTACATTACAGAAGGCAACAGTACATATGCATGTATTATAACAATGTTGGTTAAATTAGTGATTTAAATAAAGACGCACCATATCATTTATACTGATGACATAATATGCTATATCTTTTCACATTAACCCAGAATACATGAATCAATTTTAGGAGTCTCCTAGAATAGGATTGTGTTCCATACTGACCCTAGAAGCTTGACTATAATGTTGAGTTGAGTCCAAACTACCAGAAAAAAAAAAAAAAAATCGAACAAATACATGTACGATATGATTTAACTTAAGCAAAGTTTCTGCTTGGAAATAGAATGCTTCACCCGAAATAAAGTTCAGGCTCATGTCATTCTAGCATCAGTGTAAGGCTAGTACTTAGACGATCGTATCTGAGGCGTAAGCATCACTGGAGATGCCTATAATTGAGGAGAAAAAAAGATAGAGATGACTTCTTTACTTGCCTTAATAATTTTTAAATGTTATGTTAAATTACGCATTTGAAAAATATGCTGATGTTGCCCGAGCTCTTGGAAAACAGAAGTGAAGCAGAGCAAAATTGCAGTGGTTTTAGTAAAGACATAACTTAGCCACGTAGCATGTAGCAGAAACGTGATATATACCTTCATTTACAGCTGAATATTTATGTAATTTTATCATTAACGCTTTTAAAGAAAACCATAGGAGAGCCATATATTTAGAGCATTTTCACCAAATATTTTGAACGGTATATTTTGAAACATTATCTACAGTGTAAAACCACGTTCACAAAAATGGTTTCACTCATTGTTTTATTACAACAATGGATTTTATTGTTTATAAAAAAAGAAGAGCAGACTGTCCTCACTTTTGTCCTTGTTGTTTGTTTGTTTTGGTTTTTTTTTTTTGCTCTGTAATCCAAATTTGTCATGTGTATTGACTAGTGGATAAGTGACGGCTTCCCTGTGATCCTCTTATCTTTTGTTTGTTTATGTAGAGCTGCAGATTTGACTCAGATTGCAGTCACGGCTACTGTTTAGTAAATACCTCTGCTTACCTGTGTTCTCCAGACTCAGGTCCTCAGCCAAAGGAAGCATTCCTGTTGTTCTCCAGCTGTGAAGGTCCTGTCTTCAACTCTGAGACACAGACAAAAATAGGATTTAAATAAGGTAAGTATTTATTATTACATTGTTATCATAATCTTTAGAATTAAAATCGTATGTTTGAAGGAGTGAGGTTTAGTGCTCTTGCTTTACAGACGGGAATCAACAGCTAAATGGTTTGATTCCCTGTTGAAGTCAGGGGTGTCAAACATATGGCCCTTGGGCCAAAACTGGCCCGCTAGGAGGTTCAATCGGGCTGGTTTAATGCATTTTTAAAGCGAAAAAATGCAAAACCCTCCATGTTTGTGATGTTTGTTAAATTATATTTTATTAAATGTGAATGTTTTCTAATATACTTGTACTTATTTGCATGAAAACAAAGGGGAAAAACATGGACTTATTGTTATTTATAGGTAATTATCTTCTGGTTGTACTGGTCCGGCCCACTTGGCTAAGCCTCCTGGTATTGTACCAAGTGCATTTCTGTGTGGCTTAAAGAGCTAGACTGCGGAGAAAATTGCTATTTTAATGAATGAGCTATAATAATGAACGAAAACATCTCTAAAGAGTTTCATGTTTTGCATAAATACCAGCCGACAACCGTGTGTGCTCATGTGTGACATCGCAGATAGATGCCAGTAATTCCTACATGCCGAGCCACAAAGTCAACCACCCAGGCCGGTCTACTGGGGCCAGCATTAATGGGCCATGTAGTAAAAAAGCCTCTTGTTCAGAGAATACCCTTCTCTGGCTTTGCAGTGTTCACGATGAATTCAGAAGCGTTTTATGAATGTTCTTTTTCATCTCATTTCCTAAGTATTTGGTACCACCTCATTAACCTTATCTGAGGAGCACGAGGTAATGAAATTCTCCGTTTCACATCCCGCTCTGGCCCAAGTTAGTTTCGCTAATTAATTATTTTTACACTCGATAATCAAACATCACTTCACCCCCAGCATTTTGTGGACGTGCAGCATATGTCACCCAAGGGAGGGGGAGGGGGCGGGGGTGAAGCAGTAGCACGAGCAAATGTGCATACATTTTTGTTAGAGGTTAAAATAAAGTAACGCTTTGCACAGAGGGCGGTAGGTGTTTTGCGTTTGCAGCACTAATCTTAAAAAGAGATGAAATGTTCCTTTTTCACACATGCATCTAGGATTCAGTATTTACATGTGGCTCCCACGCAGCAATAAAAAGATGCAATTTTCCCGGACCTGCATACATATTTATCCCCTAGGATCACACGGACGCGCCAGATTACAGTGGAATCAGTATTCATATGGCTCCTCTCGGTCTAATGAAACAATCCTACACCGCTGTTCCCTCTGATTCAGAATTTAAAACAGGTCTTATCAGATGCAAACGTGCAGGGCCAAATTCACTTCCCAACAATCAGTAATGGAAATCTGCAAAACGGCTGGATTCTCACTGAAAGACAGGACAATGGATAATACGATTCAATTAGCCGCTAAGGCTGCTATATTTACACTGCAATGAAAGGGTCTTAAGTGGCCCGAGGCAGCTGTCTTGAAGTAAGGTCTGCGAAAACACGAAATAAGGGCGGCAGAACCGGATGAAAGAGGGGCTTGAAAGTCTTCCATGTTTGGCTTTAAATTAGTCATTATAATAACGCCATTTATCAGTTCACTGACCCGATTTCGGGGGGCAACGAACAGGCGTGGGATGCTCTGTGGCCTTGGCAGGGTCTGTCCTGCAGCTGCCCTCGGTGCCATTCATCAACAGATAGACAACTTTATAGTTTACTTCCACCCGCTGTGTGTTGGGAGAGGCAAAATTTCTCTTCCTCCTTTTCTTGGCCGCAGAAAGACATCACTAACTTGGAACACTCTTAGAGAGAAGACATTTCTCGTCCTCCCAGCATTAATATTTAAAACCGCCACAATCAAAAGAAAATCTCTTTTAATCCTTCAGTTGAAACTGTTTTTGAATCAAATTGGACGCCAGATAGCATGAACACATGAGCCAATTCTGGCGCCGACACAGCAAATCTGTCTTTAAACTGGCCCAGAGAAGGTGGATTTCAGCCTGAAATGGTCCTAATGTTGAATCGCAAATTGGTTCAAATATCTTTGAAATCATTTTTGGCTAAAGTCAAATGCTTTGGATAACATGTAATATGAATATTACCAAAATGCCAGACTGATATTTGGCAATACTGTGGACACTCTTTGGTTGACATCTGAGCAGCTGTTGACTTATGGGTCTAAATTGCTTTTCCCTTTTTTGACGTGCCGAACATCCTGGACGTTTTTACCAGCTCAAAATCGTGAATAACTATTACTACTATTACTGTTTTTTCTTTTGATTTCTGGCCATTTACCTACAAGACCAAACAAGTAGTAAAACAGTAAAGATCCCTCGTTGTTTTTTTTTGTTTTGTTTTTTTTACCAAATTGTCATACTGTCAAAAATGTTCCCATTAGGCTCTTCCTGAGATGTAATGTACGTGAGGATGGAGGGCAGATGGGAGGGGTGTAGCCTGGAGGAAGAAATGCTGAAGAAGAGCAGACAGTGCTGAAAAGAAACAGGCCCCATGTTGCTTTGAGAAACTGGATTTATATTTCCTTTGGCACTCCGCTATTCTGACCCAGAGCTTTGAAAAGGTTGAGCACCGACATGGACCTGATGGGTTCTGCTCAAATGCTGACGTGCAGAGAGGCACTCATGGGTGCAGCTTGCTGTGGTCGGCAGTTGGGTGTAGCTCTTTAGAATTTAAATCTGACAATTCGCTCTGTCTTCTGCCAACGCCGTGTTTCATATTATCACGCTCTATTACATTTCTGATCCAGATTGATGCCGATGTGAATAGATATTAGGTCCATGCACATTTTTTTAGATATGACCAGTAAACTGGATGTTAACCAAAATATTTATTTCTGTTTTCTTTTTGCGCAACTGCTTCGCAAATTCAATCTCTTTTGGATGTAACAAATTTTCGAACATGTTGCTAGGCAGAATTGAGGAAAATGCCAGCGTGAAATATCAGAAAAATTCGGAATGATTATGGCACAATAGTCTTTGCTTCTATAAAAAAAATGTTTTTAGCTAAATGGAAAAAAATAGCAGTATAAACGTAACATTTCTCTGCAAAAAAAAAGAGTAAAGAAGTGGATAAAATATATAATTATACACTTCGCTATAAACTTGTCTCATGTCAAGCCCATAAATATATAAGTACATTTAAATATATATTTAAGTGGTTTTAGAGTAACACACAAACTAATGCAGTGCGAGCTAAAAGTGTTGCTTGCTAGAAGGAAACAATGTAACTTTAATGTAAAACTTTCAAGAACTGGCAGAGAGTTTTTCACACTGAATATGAAGCCGATGGTGCCGTTGTATTTACTCGATCAGGAGCTGCCACTCCAACACACCTAGCTGTGAAGAAAGTGAAAGGCCCAGACACAGACAACAACAACTGTTCAGCACAGTCAAAACAATGGACAGAAGTTCTTCTGATGTAAGAACAGGTAAGACGAAGCAGTGTCAGTGGGAGAAGTTGTTGGATGAAGTTAGTTATTGGACTTTTTCGCCCCAGATGCTTCGAGACGGTCAAGAACCCGGTGACTTGCATTGTTTTCGATATGTCTCTTTTGTCAGGGCAAGGGCGTGACTGTGAGACTAACGCGATATCTCTGGGCCGCTGCCAGAACTTCAAGAGCGCTCTGAATGATAGATGGGATTTCTTTTTTTCAAGAAACCCAGGCAACAGCAGTTGACTTTTACACTTCTGAGGAGATTTACAAAAAGGTGGTGAGACCGACTGAGATTTTCAGTGAAGGTTGTCAGAAGTGACAGGATTAGGAATGTCAGGTTGAGGGTTTGAAGACGATTCGCACTAGCTCCGTGTGTAAATTGTGTTTTCTGCGAAAGTCAAAGGCTGACTGTTGGTGGGAACACAGGAAGTCTGAAGAGGTTCACGGATACAATAAAGGACACACAAAGGAGGTGGGCGGTGTGAAGATACTGTAGCGGCGGAAAACAGACAGGATGAGATGGAGGCAGGACTGTATATGTATGATACACGTGTTGTTATTTGCACACAATAAAAAGCAGCTCAACCTTAAAATATCCTCCCGACGTCGGGCTGGCGTTTGTGAAAGCTGCCTTGTGTCGGACCAGCCTCGCTGAGCAGCAGGGCAGTAAGTAAGTCCGCTGCTGACAAACTGACTGACACAACTGTCAAACATAGACTGACACGTCGTCAAGGACAACCGCCGTGTACAGAGATGTGTTGACAGCAACTCTTGACTCGTTCTCCGAGACGAGAGCAAGACACGCCGTAATAAATGAGTCTCAAATCCGCCAACTCCGTGAAGCTGCGGCGCGAGTTATAGCTTTGCATATGTTCTCGATCCCATCGTTTTTGACTGAACACAAACGAGAACAGATGCGAAACACCTACTTATACCATATCGTCTGGTCTGTTGACTCCTCTCGATTAATCTTGATTATTCGTGATTTATTACGATTCATGCTTACCCTATGATTTGTCATATTTGATATTTTAAATGTCGGCCATTTGCTATATTTTACTCGAATCCTTGATGGATTTATAGCTAGGAGCCCATTATCATTTCCTTCCAAGGCGCTCAGAAATCTTGGCAGCGCCTCTGCTCACTGTATATTAAGAAAATATTAATAGCCTGGAGGAGATGCACAGTATGGATACACTGTAAAAGACTGAGGGAATAAGAGAGTTCTTGTACCACTGAGAAAGGAATCATCAGTGTGGAGAGGAAGACGTGGTTGGACGTGAGAATGGAATAACAAGTACGAGCAACAAATCAAATTCATGCTTTGTCAAATCAGAGCTGGGTTTTTTCAAATGGCTGAGAGATAACTGAACCGGGGGGGGGTTCCAGATTCCCTGCATCTGGAGCCGCTGCATTTGCTTTTTTTTTTTTTTTTTTTCATTGGAATGATTCCCTGTTGAGCCTGAAGGTGTGGAGATAGAGTAGATCACAACTGGCTTCCTCTGTGGAGATTGAGAGGAGCATTTTCTGCCCCCACACCCTGCCTTTCTCCCTCTCTCTCTCTCTCTC